AAAGGACCGAAACATCTGTAGGAAATAGAACTCTGCAAAGATGTGTGAGGGTAAAGAGCTTTATATTCTATCAGTGAAAGTTAACTGATGATAAAAAGAAGGATGGTGCAAAGCCTTGAGCAGTTGAGGCCAAGAAACCTACATGTGAAAGATACCAATATCTGATCACCAGTCTTGCCTAATGCAATGGGTAGAATAGATAATCACAGCAGCAAAAGTTAGCAGTGGCAGACTCAACAAACAGGTCAGGAATTTGGCAGTATAAGTGGATAAAAAAGGTACAGAAACAAAAGTGTCAGGGCATTGAAATAGAATAAATAGGCAGAAAAAAATCACAGAAGAAATGCATAGAAGGTAATAGAATTTAGAACAATGGAAGACATGTCCTGAAATGTACTTTCATTTAAATATAACTCTAATTCAGCTACCAGTAGATTCTGTAAAATACTTACTTGTGTATATGATGTGGGTGTTAGTGTGCAAAACCTTGCTCTTAAGGGATCCTATGGTTGTTTTTTTTTTAATGACTCTTCTTTTTGCAATCTTTACTCCATTTCTACATTTCTGTAATTTGGAACGGTGAAATTGAAGACCATTTTGTGATCAAAACAGTAAGGTAGTTTTAGTCATCTGACTTCTCTTGAGAGGAGACAAATTTTCTTGCCATTCGTATTTCCATCTGGCATTTAGTAGTTACTGCAACCAGCAGAAATGCTTTTATTGCCTTATTTCATCTAGGGAAGACTTCTATTATTTTCCATATAAAACATATTGATGCCATTTTCCATGATGTGAATCCTAAATATATTTAACTAGGCATTAAATTTAGATTTAACAGGGTAGTAACTGTCTCCTAAGTAAATATTCTGAGATAAGGATATATTTAGCTAGATTTAGCAGTTATGTGGCAGATGCAACTCGCATTGTATGATTGTAAATCTTCAGTAAATATGTTTTCTTTATGCATTGGTATTTAATTAACATATAATAACTCTTATTAACTACAAATGAACAACTCATTTGATTAGATAGAATTAAGTATGCACTACTGTATACTGGTAGAATTGGAAGCTTTAGATTACACTCAATAAATGTATCACAAGCTTTGTTACAGCTTTGAGTTATTGCACAATATTGTCCTTGTCAAGGTCACTTTGGACAAGGGAGAAAAATTTTATTATTCAAAAGTATATCAGTGCAGTGGAGTCTTAATATTAAGATTAAAGTAATGTAAGCTGATACCCATAAGTTCCAATTTCTAGCATTAGATCATCCTCTCCAATGTTAACATTTTTTAGCTGTTTTGGACTTCATTTCCCATGAGATATCAATTGTAGAAGATGCATGTATGTTAATATGCAATCTTAGTACACTACTAAGACTCTTTTGACTGGATAATATACAAATCATTGTAGATAAATAAAAATACGATTATTGAAAAGTTGATATTTTATTATACATTGAAGAAATCAGTTTAAAAGGTCAATGATAGTAGACCTGGTAGAATTGATAGCATTAGAAATGGTTAATGGAGAATTTGGGGAACATGTCTATAGCAAAACAATATGGTAAGATATGTTTTATTCTATTTAAAAAACCCTTTAAAATGATGTTAGTGACAAATTACCACTAATATATTCTAGTTTAAATTTTTATGGACATTTCATTTTATAATTCAGATCCAAAAATAAGAAGTCTTCCTTCCCTCCTTCTCTCTCTCCTCTCTTAACTGAGAACATAAATAAAGCTTCACAGGGTGATGTAATTTTAAAACTACATGTAAAGATTCCTTCAACAGGGTTTGACTCTCTGTGATTCCATAGGTTTATGTAATTCATGTAATTTTCTTGCCAGCAAGAAATATTCTGATTTTTTTTTTCAACTTCACAGTCTAGTCTACAACTGTGGGATTTCCTGGCAATTTCTCAGCCAAATATTAATCCGGTTTAGCTGCAGTTGGCTAAGTGTTGCCATCTGTCCTGAGCAATTATTTAACCTGTGGCATTAAAAAGTATAAATAAACCTACATTTTGGTTCTTGCCTGATTTCAAAATGTGCATACTTATATATATATATATATATATAAAATGAAAGCATTAGCTCCGGGTTCTTTTTTTTAAAAAAAAAAAAAAACACAGCAGTTTAATACAGGATATCTTCATGCAGGAACAGGATACAGGCTATCCAGCTAAAGCATATGCATGCATATGGCAATGGTCCTCTGGGCCTCAGTAGTCTAAGTGTGCTTATTGATCTGGATGTGAATGTGCATCATCATCCAGCGCCAGCAACCACTATGTGAGACTAAAGCTAAATCAATACTACTGCTTGGCCTGCTTTGTATCTCCTACAATCTGGATTCAGCATGAAAACAGCCTTGCATATGAAGATCTTATTTTAACACACAACAGTCTTATTTTATAGCACACAGAAACAATCTCCTATTGTTTCCCATTTATAATTTGCCAGTATTCACAGAATACTGGTTATTCTTCAATGATCTCATCCTTGAACACTGCTGAATGATAGCATCACATCACAATATTGGAAAAAATGGTATGGTGAATGTTAATGCAGATTTGCCCATTACAAAAGTAAAAGTAATTTACAGCTTAGTGAGTATTTTCATAATATGGCAGCTGGAGTGAAGTAACCACAATTCCTTTAGGCATTTGAGTAAAAAAAAAAAAAAAAAAAAACACTTTTCCAATTCCTCCTTTTGTGGCACTAGTTAAGCCATTATCCAAGGTAGTTAGCATTCTTGGTTGCTTGCCTGTTTGTTTGTTTGTTTGTTTATCAAATTTATATGGATGCCTATCTCATGAATGTGATTTGTTAAGTTCTTTTCTTGTGCATTGAGTCACATGGCACATTAGCTACTCTCTTAATGCTTCGTGGGTCAAGTTGGTGAAGCTGCTGAAATGAACTGGAGCTCAGCTGCCAGTCCTGGCATTTGGGGAGGACAGATGCAGTATTCACATTCCAGGCAACTCAATACCACCATTGTCTCTGCTCCAATTAGACCCTCACACATCAAGGGCCCAGAAGAGAGATCGGGGAGGAATGGCTGGTCTGAGATTCTGGTAGAGAATGTTTTATCTGGAGAAGAAAAATATGTGATAAAAGAGCAATATATGAATCAGAAATGCCAATTATCCAGAAGAATGTTTTATTTTTCATCAAAGAAAAAATAACCAAAAAACCAAACCTGCTATACTCACTTAGGTGGAGAAGAAATAGCTCCAAGTTTTCCTATTTTTTGTCACTCTACTTTCTGCAACATTCATTTCATTTTGTAGACTACATTTTGTTCATTAAAATTAGTTATTACAATAGGGAAGTGTGTGTTTGTGTGTATGCATGCATGTAGTTCAGAATCATTTTTATCAACAGGTCAATGTATTTCAGGCTAGAGCCACATTCACACAGGAAAAAAATTGTTGGAGCCACATTGTCCTTAGTGAGGAGAGTAGGCATCCAAGACAATTGGGAGCACTCTATTCTTTCTCTCACTGTCTTCCTCTTTTATCTTCTCCTTAGTCTCCCTCTTTTCAGACAGCAGACAGACAGAGAAAGGATCAATTACCTGTACTGACTGTAGCAGTGGCCTGTACTAACTGTACTGACTGTTGAAATGAGGGTGATGGCTGTTCTGTTTCTGCCGGCCCAGGACATAACAATGGCCATATAAATTAAGCTGAGGGCTGCATGTAATCCTAAGGCAGAGATTGTCCGCCTCAGTTATGTAACAGCCTCTTCTTAATTAGTAAATATCAGAGCACTGTTGGTCAAGTCTGCAGAAATTAAGGGCCAAGAGACAGCAATCCTGTTTTGGACCCAATGCAAGATTTTAAATAAATCAGTGAAAAATGGAAGTTTAATGAGTGCAATTTTAAAATTTTGAAGTCAGATGTTACTTAGAGATGTTTTCAAAAATGTATGAAAATTTTCTTAAGAAATAATTGGCCTTTACAGGTAATGGATAAGAGGAACTCTGATTTGTGCACAAAAATAAACTACTTGTATGTATTAACAAAATGGGGCCAAAAACTCATAGGCCCAAAACTTTGTTAATAATCATGGAAATAAAATGGAGAAATGAGGGTTATACCTTTATATCTAGGGCACTGATCTCACTATGTTTCAAGTCTTTTGGCCTACAGTTGATTCCCAAATCCTCGTAAGCTCCCAATTTAAATGGGGCTGAATAAGAGTCACACATACAGGACTCCACATAATATGGTCTTGCAAGTTACAGATACCTGGGATCAGGCCAGCATGGTTGTGTCCTCTCCACTCTCAGAATGAACATTTAAACCAAGCTTATATGAATATAATACACATCCCCAGCCATTTCATCTTGCAGCAGCTCTTTCTCTCATTGCCAGCACTTGACTGGACTCTGTTCATCACATGTAGAAGCAGTCAGCTTGGCAAGCCTGCCACTGGAATCCACAACCTCATGGTGCTTACCAAGCTGTAGCTACTCCTATATTCAGCCAATGCCTCAGAGGTTCAGTTCTGCTGAGCAAGGGAACAGCTCTACGGTTTCAGAATTAAAAAAGAAGAAATGTAATAATAGTATGGCTACTAACACTGAATGAAAGTTGACTATTTGTTTTTTCATTCTCACTTGCCCATTGTCACCTCACTACACTCCCCTCCCCCCTTCCCATAGCCTTTTGTTTTTCTTCCTTCCTTTCAGTTTCCCAATCCTTCCTTCTGACAGCCATCCCGTTTCCCTCCTTTTTTCTAACGGTCCACCAGCCCTCTTTCTAGAAGGGGGCAATGCCTCTAGCGAAGCTGTTGTCGTAACAACCTAAAAGAGCATCGGCGGTTTGGCCGGGATAGGCTGACCAGGCTGAGGCTCCAGGGGAGAAAGGGTGCGCGGCGCATCTGACGGAGTGGCTTCCTGGAGTGGGGAGGATAGACGAGCGCGTGGAAGCGAGTTTCCAACCGAGTCAGGCAGCGAGGAGACCCCTTTCTTTGCCCCCCACCCCCACCGCTGAGCCGCTCGCCCGTTCCCTCCTCCTTTCGCTCCGCCTGGGAAAGTGGGTTAGGAAGAGAGCCGAGCGCAGACTGCTGCGCCGCTCGCTCTAGCAAAAGCATCCACACGCTGGAGGAGCAGGAGGAGGGGGAGGCAGGCAGGCGAAGTCGCAGCTCGTCGCCTTAGGGGGCTCATTTGCCCTTTCGGAGCTCTTTTGGACGCCTTGATTTGTTTGCTTTCGTCTCTCTCCCTCGCCCCCCTCCCGTCGGGGTCTGGCTTCTCTGTTCCTACCCTCCTCTATTTTTTGTTTTGTTTTGTGTGTGTGTGTGAGAGAGACCACCTCCTCGCCTCTTTCTTCGTTTCCATCCCTGTCCGGCTTGTCTGGGGGAGGGGGGCAACTTAAACAAGCCAAAAGAGCGCGCGCGACAAACAACAAGACATTATATCTTTTCATCCCAAGGCATCGAAAGGGAGGGGGTTGAGGGACGAGAAGCGTAAAAAGAAGCCAGGAGGCAACGAGCGAGGACCAGGTCGGGAAGGAGACCCCCAAGAAGCCGAGAGAACTGATCAACTGGGCAGACAGAGTTGTGCGTTTTTTGATCGCTGGCCAGATATTACTGTACCTCTCTCGCCTGCTGCCCAGTCCCTGTTCTCTTTTCTGGGTTTAAGTCCACCATCCTCCAAGCACCGAGAGTGATTGAGAGAGAGGAAGTCCATCCTTTGCAACTCCAGCCATGGTGGGAAGGGCTCAGCCCGATCGGAGACAATTCCCGTTGGTCCTACTGAGACTGCTTTGCCTTCTCCCTACAGGGCTGCCGGTCCGCAGCGTGGATTATAACCGAGGCACTGACAACATCACGGTGAGGCAGGGAGACACAGCTATCCTCAGGTAGGGGGCGATCGGCCAACTTTTCTTACCGTCTTCTTGTCTCCCCGCTTGAGAGTCCTGACCGGGGCTGAGAGTGGAGGGCGGGTGGAGGGAGAGGCAAGCGTGTGCTCGTGATCCTCTGGATGTGACTAAGGTGTTCGTGTGACATTGATTTTGAGTCACCCAAGGCCGCTTGTCTCCCAAGTATAATTTCCCTACCCTGTTTCTCGGAGCAGTGTATCCAGCTCATCCTCTCCCTCTTCTCCAAATGCCTAGATTTGCCAGAAGCTTGAAAAGAACTTCCCATTGTACATTAACCGTCTGGCTGTTGTTTATTAAAAAAAATAAAGAAATAAGAAAATTCTGCTAATATATGATGTTTGTTGTGGAGTAAATAGGATTTGCAGACAGTCTTCAAAAACTTGTCTTCTACAGCTCCTGAATGATTATATAAAATATATCTAAATGTGCTTTGAATGGAGCTGTTTTTATTGGATCATTTCTGTTGCTGATCTTCCTGACATCTCTGTGTTAGTTGGTTATCCAGACAAAGTGAAGGAGAAAATAAGTATCCAGAAGGGAAAAATGCAAGTTGCCTTTCCCTTCCTGCCAATATTTAAATGGCAGAAGAAACCCCTGAGCACCCACCCACATAATTTATTTATTTGAATTTTATCTTGATTTTTATTTTGTACTATCAAGTCAGCGTACATAATGTGAGAGGTCAGAGAAAAGAGTCATTATGGAAGTAACCTGTTTTCTTCCCTCTCCATTATCACACTCTTCTAAAATTTAAGCACTACTTAAGTGAATTATTTGCTAGTTGTTCTGGCTCTTGTACAAATGGATTAAAATCCATTTAACAATATAATTCATTTATGATGTTAAAAAAATCTTGGACAGCTTAAGTGCAATGTTGCAATTTCAAATGTGCATGGTTTCTAGTCAGGTGATTGCCTGTGTGGCTTGCTCTGTTGGTTTTCCTTGCTAAGCCTAGAAAGAGAGCTGAGTTCAGTGCATATGTGTGTGACTTGACTGACTGGTGATGGGAAGCTGCCTCTTGGTGTTTGTAGTGTCTGTTCAAATTGAGATTATATAAATCCTAGTCACTTTAAATCTTGAATTAAAACTCCCTCTTATTTATATAAATAGACAAATCCCTACATTGCAATCTGCTCTACTGTATTTAAACTTATATGTTATAGAAACCATACATGCACCAGTATCTGCATTCTGCATATTGTGGCAATAAAATTACGGGATGTGATTTAGAAGAGAGTAATTTATGCAAAGAACAGATATTGCACAGCTGTCAAAGATCCAGGGAATAGTTCTTCAGCAAACATAGTGACTACACAAAGTTTTTACTCTATTTCTGTGGAATTAAACTTGATAGCTAGTAGACTCTGCCTTTGAACCTCAGTATTTTTTCATCCACCTCTCTGTTTTGCAGTTGGAAGTACATTTTTATTACATGCAGGAAAATAGTATGTATTCCTTGTATTTTGAGCACATGATACTAGCGAGAGGGGTTTTAGAATGCAAAACAGTAGTCTTCTATTCATTTCATGAGCTAAGAGTATTCTGATGTTGGAATAAATATACTTTCAGCAGGACCATTCCTCAGCTCTTCAGCCTTGTTAACTTGCATGTATTATTTTCTACATGGAATAATAGGATTAAACAAGTAATTCATCTGATTTGCATTCTGTGATAGAAAGCTTATGCTGAGCCAGAAACACCAAACCTGAGTGTTATCTGTGACTTTAGAGATGTCTCTTTTCTCTCTCTCTCTCTCTCTCTTTTTTTCTCTATCCATGGCCCTTCCCTGTTGAGATTTAGTAGTTAACCCTTTTGGGTAGGGCTTTCCTGTTTTTCTAGTCTTTCATTTTAAATGCATAGTGTAGATCCTGGTTTGATCTCCCCTTTTCCTAAGTAGCACAGAAGGGAATATGTTCAGCTTCACTGTGTACATATGGCACTAGAGAAGTCGTTAAGCTCACTTACCCAGCTAGGGGTCATTGGATTTCTATTTCCCACTTAACCTTGCAGCTCTGAAGTTTATCTACAGATACAAGGTGCCCAGAATGCATTTGCTGCAAAGATGTATGCAGCCTGCAGGATAGTGGTGAAAGAACATTTACAGATTTTATTCTTTTTTAGAGTTTCTCAAATATGCATAGGTAGTGAGTTTCAGTAGGTATTTAACTCTGTGTTAGCATCTGAGGTCAGGGAGGGAGGGAGGGAGGAGAGGGAGAGGGAGAGGGAGAGGGAGAGAGAGAGAGAGAGAGAGAGAGAGAGAGAGAGAGAGAGAGAGAGAGAGATGTAATATGTATTGGCATCCAGCAGAGAGAGACACACTATGAAAAAAAAAGCAAGCACAATTCCTTCCTTTCATCAGCTTATCTCAGACAACAGTATGTCAACTTCCACGCATAATGATTTAACTAAGAAAGCCAAAGAGCTGTCTATAGAAGTCAGAGTTTCACCATTATGATTATTAAAAGGTTTGTATGCTTTATAAATTTTGCACATTCCAATTCAGATTTTATCTATCTTGGCTTGGAAATATATGCATGTTGCACATAAATTTGCTTACTTTAAAGTAATTACATTAAGGATGTGTTTAGTTAATACTGCAGCCCACAAATGCTGACAAGTACTGGCTGTACAGATTTTATGCTTTTCTGCACAGATGATGAAGACTGGCATAGTTTATTCATTTCTAGCACTATCCAAAATGTTCATTTGGGAATAAAAGATCTAGGATCATAGTTTCTGACGATACCACAATTTCCTTGCATTCAGGGTCTTATTTGTATAGATACATTGTACATTGATTATTTGTTCTCTGGAAAATGATAGAGACTAATTATCAGACCACCCTACTTGAAGTTGTGTTAACTAACTAAACCTCAATGAAGTGGAGATAGGGAGTGGTACTTATTTAATACACATTTTACTGCTTTTAAAATTGAAATCTTGTCAAGATAGTTTACAATATGATTAGTACAATTAAAAATCAATATGCTAAGATGACACAATCAAAAACCTTCAACATGACACACCTCTTTTTTTGCAAACACTTTTTTGTATATGAAAGTATGGGCAGATGCCCCATCAAAGTATCCTTAGCTAAAATTCTCCCTTCAAGTAACTTCTAGATGGAGGGGGTAACTTCAAATAAATCATGGAGAACTTGTGAGTCTTCATCATTTCCCCCCCTACTTGTTCTTAGTGAATTCCACACTAGTTTAAAAATCATATCTAAATATTTCCTGCTTTACACTTAACATCCAACTTTATCTCTCTGTGATTTTCCTCTTCATCTGAACCTATATTCCTGTAATTTAATAGAATTAAAGAATAATTATTGACTTTTACATAAAAGCTTTGCATAATCCAGCAACGTACATAGACTTGAACATACAGGTAATCCTTACTTACGACTACAACTGGAACTAGAATTTCTATTACTAAGCAAGATGGTTTTTAAGTGCAGTCATTAAGAAATATGGATTTTCTCAATGACTTTGCTTGTCAGAATCTGGCTGGGAAGGTTGCAAATGGCAATCACATGACCCCAAGATGCTGCAAATATCATAAATGCAGGCTGGTTGCTGTGCCTGAATTTTGATCATGTAATCAAGGGGTCACTGCAACAGTCATAAATGAGGACTGGTGATAATTCACTTTTCTCAGTGCTATGTAACTTCAAATAGTTGCTTAATGAATTGTTGTAACTCATGGACTATCTGTATACACTTCTATCTTATTCCTCTTGAGTGGATGACACTAAATCAGTGGAGGGCAACCATTCGTTGTTGAGGAACGCACTTAAGATATTTAGAGTAGAGCATCAGCTGGCATGACAGGAAATTCACTTGGCTACATGAAATCTTGCAGTTCTAGATTGCCTAGAACTGTGCAATTTTATATTACATCAGAAAGTAAGAAACATTATCTTTTTGAATAAGCCAAAATTAATTATCTTTTCTGGGAAAGATTGAGGGCAGTAGAATAATGGGACGTCAGGGAATGAGGTGGCTGGATGGAGTCACTAAAACAGTAGGCATGAGCTTAAATGGACTCCAGAAGATGGTAGAGGACAGGAAGGCCTGGAGGAACATTGTCCATGGGGTTGCGATGGGTCGGACACGACTTCGCAACTAACAACAACAACAACAATTATCTTGTTCATATTAAAGAAAAAAAATTAATACAGTAAGAATAGTTGTTTGATAGTTAAAGAAAAAAAAGTCTAACTGACTTATGACTATGAAAGCTGAGTTTCACTTCAGAATTTTCCATATCAGGTTTATGAAGCCTCTTTCTCCAAATTGTTGTTATACTGAAATTTATGAATATACAGTATACATTATGTGGCTTTATGCAAATAGAATTGAAGTAAATGAAATAGAACAGAATAACAGAGTTGGAAGGGACGTTGGAGGTCTTCTAGTCCAATCCCCTGCTCAGGCAGGAAACCCTATACCATTTCAGACAAATGGTTGCCCAAACTCTTCTTAAAAACTCCAAGTGTTGGAGAACTTCTGAAGGCAAGTTATTCCACTGATTAATTGTTCTAACTGTCAGGAAATTTCTCCTTAGTTCTAGATTGCATCTCTACATGATTAGTTTCCATCCATTGCTTCTTGTCCGGCCTTCAGGTGCTTTGGAGAATAGCTTGACTCCCTCTTCTTTATGGCAACCCCTGAGATATTAGAAGACTGCTATCATTTCACCCCTAGTCTTTCTCTTCTTTAAACTAGATTCATTAAATAAAACTCAAGTGCTGTTTCTTATGATGAATGGTGAAATGTGAGACCAATGCACATAATTTATTAAAAACGATTTATTTTAAGCTTACCTCTCAAAAGGGATCCTAGTATTTGAAGTTAGTGATTAGTAAAATTGTTATCTTTATAAATATCTAATAAGGATATTCAATGGTGTGGTGTTTGCGTTGTCTTTCCATGTGGAGTGGTATACCTCATCCAACACTATATAATTGTAAAAAG